TTTGTCTATGAGCAATATGGTTATCTCCCTTCATCCCCAGCCACCGGAAGTTGCCAGCCTGTCACTTTTGTAAGCAGTCACTTTAAATTTTACAGCGATGTTGGCTTCCCAAAATATTGATCAAAAATCGATAACGATCTCTTTCATTTTGAAAATGCATTTTATTCAGGGAATATGGTCTTGGTTCCCGTTTTCCTATTCATTGATCTTTTTCGGTCTATTTTTGATTTTAATTCCTCGCCCTTCCATCAACAGAGGTACAAATGCGTTGGTATATTTTCAGAAGAAGAACAATCTCATGAATACATGCATTTCTTTCGAAAGATAACGAACAAAGATTGAACTGAAAGAAAACGTAAAAATAGAATAAGAGTAAATCGGGATTCATTTAGAAAGAAAAAAGACAAGGAAACTAATGAGACATGAAGCGGGAAAGAAAAAAGCACAAAAATAAATGTGTCAGAAAGTTATTTTTATTTAAATGACAGCTAGAAATATTGTTAATTTTTAATACTATTCATATCATCTTTAATTTAACATTTATTGGACAAAAATCTAAAAACATTATTTTCTCTCAAACGAAATACAGGTTGCCCCCCCCCAAAAAAAAAATGACATTATTTTAAAACTTGAAAACTACAAAGTATATCTCAATGAAATTGAACAGTTTAAGTGTTGAACATCATGTATTAATTATGGCAACGCTTTCATAAGCGTTCAATATATACACCATACGTCACACGTCAAGACGATAGTTAAGCACTTACCAAACACGCTGTAGCATGTTTCCGGTAGCATTATCCAGTGCGGAAGTGATTCTCTGCTTGAGTAAATTAATCCTAGCAGGAAGTTGGGGGACATAGAACAGCCCCTTCACATATCCCCATAAAAAGAAATCACACGGGGACAAGTCCTGTGACCGCGGTGGCCATATCATCAGAAAACTGTCTTCCTCTCTCACCACGCCAGATCCATCTCTCGGTGTTGTAGAGTAGTTTCACAGTGGAGGCTTGTATTTCACTAAGTCGGTCCTAAAACAGGTTCGACGTACAAACGTTAGGAACTTGATATAAGAGTTAATGACGCAGCAATGTAGTTGTGGTGCTGATACTTTAATATCCGACTAACGGTCGTCCGACATCGACTGACTGACCAACTCACTGAGCGACTGACTTGTTACTCTTACTACTCCTACTTATTATAGGTGGGAGGGTCTATTAACTATAGAATAGGGGTGTTCCAGTATAATACTCGGGCAGATTCTCATTAAGATAACAAACATAAATCATTAAATATAAAATCATGATCTGTTTCTATACATTCTGTAAAAATTTGCGGTTATTTCAACTATAATTGCCAAAATTATAGGCCTGCGAAATGATGTCAAATGTTTGGGGACACCCTGTATATTCGCTCTAACGCTAACAATAATGGAAAAATGGCCGGTTCTTTCTACTGTCTCAGGACGTACCTATCCCCAACTACGATGTTCTATCTTTAGAAGACTCGATTCAGGCCGAAAATGGACTATTGCTTCCATATATGTGCCGAGGCAGCCTAATCCTCATTTTCCAGCCTAGAGGGAGATTAAAAGCGTTTACCTTCTTACAGGCTAAACATCGCAAGCCTAATCCTGCTCTATCGTTATTTCCAGACGTTCAGATGAGCTACATTCCTTAGGTTCACTCTTAATTTCTGTTATTCCCGGTCCACTCTTAACCGGGGTGGTAGCACCTGTTAGGATCCCAGCTCTGGGGAAAATTGTGAACCCCCAAAAAACACTATGAAATTATAAAAACAACTTTTTATAGTAAAAATACCAACAATACATTATTATGTAAAACATTATGAAGAATAAATTCTATCTGTAGTTGAATGCAAACAAGTGCATTCAAAATATATTTAATTGAAGCCAGAAAATTGTCTCCAAATTATTTAGATTTCAGCGTTAAATAACCCATAGAGGTGTTGATATACCGATAAATAAAATCAAACAATCGACCTTAGGTTCACTAGTTCAGACCTTAGCAACTAGGACACACCATGTCACGTATAAAGTATCAAATCATTCGAATTTCTTTCGAATTTCTTCGGGAAACTGTACATTCTACTCAGGTAGATTCTTCTCCAGAACTATCGCTTTGCGGAAAAGACTCCTAAGAGGATGTTTTCTTGACCACTTAACTTCTTCATGTATACGGTCAACTGTTATCTGTCTTACATAGCCTCATATGCACCTCTGATTTACTCTTTGTATTTTTCTGGCGTGTGCAAAAAAAAAAAAAAAAGTTCACTCTTTCTCTCGTTTTATTATTTCTTTTCAACGATTTATTTTTATTTTAGTTTTAAGTCCAGATCTTCTTCTATCAACGTTTTTTCCTCCTTTTTTACGTCGTTTTTTTTCAACGAAACTTATCTATTTTCTTTCCTTTTAAAATTATTTACTTTTTAATAGCTCACTATTTCGTCTTTTTTCCTTCTACATCCATGTTGTTTTTTCTCTTCTTTTTTTCTGATGTCCTTTTTGTCTTATTTCCGTGGCAGCTCAAGGTTATCCTGGTCACGGCACCAGATGTAATGACTGTTAGCATAGAACTTATGGCTACATCTAGCCGACGCAACTGTGAATTGATGAGATCTCGTTGCTATTCTAGTGTGCCGACGTAGTCCTTACATCGTTCACTGCACAACCTGTGCTGACATCCAAGGTCGGTTGCATGCGCATATACACCCGGCTCGTTATGTTCACAGGTTTGTCTCTTTGGCCGTGATCAAATTAAAAAAAGAAATTAAGGCAAATACTTTTCAAGACACTGGTTGGGAAATAGCAATAATATGATTTTTCAATTAACCGTGGTATTCTTCCTTCAGTTTAGAGAAGGTGGGCTGCTAGAAGGTGTGTTCAATTTCTGGTTAAGGCAGTGGAGAACTTTCAGAGGGAAAATTAGCAGGAGATAGCTGATAACTGACATCCATCAAACATGGCACGTGGAATTAGAACAGTCTACCCCAGTGATCTAAATAAAGGGTTCAGTTCGAAATTCCAACCACCTGAAGGCCGGAGCGTACAACGGCCGAAACGTTGTGACAAATATGGCGACAAAGATGAGGACAATAGTCCGACTAATGTAAATACTGTACATAAAAATCATCTCAGAAATATAGACAGACTCTAAAGGAATATATCTACTTATCTCCTAAGGATGTATGAGAAATCGTATATTTATAATCCAGCTTTTTTTTCATTTATTATATAAATTACAATAAAAAACTACAGAACAATCAATAAAATCAATAGAAATAACATCAACAATAAAAAAAAGCAATTAAGTAAAATAGCAATATTTCATGCGCAGCTCAAAGCACACACACAGAGACACACACACTCACACACACACACACATATATATATATATATATATATATATATATATATATATATATATATATATATATGGGTGGGTAGACCACAACAGTTTTCATCGTCAATCCAATGGGTTCTTGTGTAATATGAAGTCCTTAGACACAATGATAAAACACTTCTTTCTTTTTCCCTTTATTTTTTTTAAATGGATTGCAATTAAAAGAGAAGGTTAATATTGTACTTTTCTCCAGAAACTGATCCCATATGTGAAATAGATGGCTACAAATATCTTTCCCCTTTTTTTTTTCTTTCTTTTCTTTTGACGTCAGGCGTATAGTGGGAAATTGTATCCTCTCCCAAATCTGTCTGACTCCTAGAGCCTCACGAGGTCCACTCCTCGCCTTCACATTCTCTCACCGGCTCGTTTTGTACCGGACGCATTTTCAGCCCACGTCCCCCATACCCCACTAAAACACACACTATCACTAAGGAAACTATATTTCTACCTATGATAACTAAACTATAACATTTACTGTTGGGTTCCTCCTTGTTCTATCCACCATCGACACCTTATCCACTAAAATCATGTAAATCTACTGGTTTAACTAATTGGGGTAATTTGCCCCATTTACAGTTAAGTTTGATTTCCTTATTATGGGCTCTCACAGCCCTGTATATCTGCTAGTCGAAATATCCAGCAGGGCCAGAGAGGAGTCCTGGGTTCTAAACGTTTCCTCTACCTGATAGTAAGGTAAGAAGTCGAAAGGCAGAAAAACCCATGTGAAGATTGATAATGTCCAGGGGCGAGGTACCTCTTACAGTTACTGTTAGTTTTCCTATGTAAAAGCCTAGTAAGTCCAGTTCCCAGTGTATGGCCTGTACGTTCCTAATTTGCATCAAACCTTCGAGCTAATTCTTACTAATTATAACCTCTGACCTGATGTTTATCACTATGAGAGATTTCAACACGCCGGTTGAGATTTATGAGGACAAATAGCAACAAGACCCTCAAATCGACCATATATCATTTCTCAAGTTTCACCAGCACTATCGATATGATTGCTGAAAAGGTCCAGTCGCATCGTTCAGTCTGAAGGGCGTAACTGTGAGTTGGTACAGCCCAACGTGACAGGAAAATTCAGCCTTCCCCATTATCGGTTTTGTTGAGGGCTGCCTGCCAGTAGTCAGACTTTGAATCAAGGGAGGGAAAATAAGTTGACTTCCCCAGCAATGTCAATATGTCGTCGATCAAGGGTAGGAGGTAGGCTAGTGGTTTGATTATCATATTCGGAGCCCTCCACGTTAACAGGGAGAGTTCTCTTATCACTGCTTCCAGCATACCGGCAAATGCTTATTGTACGAGTTTAGGCTTATGCAGTCGGGTCCAGTATAGTATTACTTTTATAGGCAGGTGATTATACGTGTCTATCCTCATCTTTATTGTTTCTATTTAGCTTAAGTCAGCATCCAAGTCAGCTACCGCGTCCGTATTGTCCCTAAGAGAGGGCGGGATACACCCTTTGTGAGTATATGGAGTTAATATTCCTCCCTCCCTAATTGTGGAATTCTTATATTTACTGCTATGGTCTTCTGCACATCCTTCTCCTCCCTTGGTAAAAGTTGGTAAAGCCTCTCT